TGGCTTAAACTCATGCCAGGCGCATGTGTGTGTGTGCCCAAGATCCTGAGAGAAGAATGGAGAAGGGATTGCGGCGTGACCATCTCCCCAGGGGGTAATTTCTCGCTTTCTGTCTCTCTGTCTCTTTCGGGCGAGTGCACGCACCCTATAGGAAAAAACCTCTAAAAAAAAAATCATTATTCTTTAACTTTATTTTATTATTATTATTAATTTGACCAGAGAAAATTAAGAGAGAGACAGAGAGAGAATGAGAAAGCTAGCTGCCAGGTCTGAGATTCGAACTGCAGTTTTTAACTATCACGCCACCCGCTGGTCCCCTAAGTAAATGACTTTTTTAAAAAATTATTTATTTATTTATTCACTCATTGTTTATTTTAATATGACCAGAGAGAGATGGAGAGAGAGAGAGAGAGAGATGGAAAGTGAGAAAACAAGCCACCAGGTCCAGGGCTTGAACCATGGTCAGCCATGTGGGAGTGTTCAGCACTTTAACCACCATGCCACCTGCTGGTCCCAGTAAATGACCCTTAAACAAAAGATGTGCATGCAGCCTTGTTCATGACAGCAAAAGCTGCCAGCACCCACCTTCCCATTTATAGGAGTGAGTCCGAAAGATTAATGCATGCTCTGGCATAATCTGGGAAATCCTATCTAGTCCCTCTGTGCTCATGTAACAATAAAAAAAAAAAATCCTTCAGGGGTCAGTAGGTGGCGTGGTGGTGAAGGCAGCCAGATTCCGCGTGACCACCTGTGCAGTTCGAATGTGGACCCAGTGACTTGAAAACCACGCTGGGTGTGTGTGCGTACACGGCCAAATCCTGAGAGAATGGAGGAGGGGTGCGGTGGCCCTGCCCGCTGCGGGGTGATTTCTCACTTTGTCCCTGTCCAGCAAGCACACGAGCCTGCTAGTGACTTACAAGGAAAAAGAATCTTCAGGATAAAAAGAGAAAGCTAGACGTAAAGTGTGTATTATAGGAACCAATCTGTATGCAACTTTTTTTGTTTGTTTGTTTGTAGAGGTTTTTGCTATAGGGCGTGTGTGCTCGCCAGAAAGAGAGAGACAGAGAGAAATCACCTCCCAGGGGGGACGGCCATGCCACAGTCCTTTCTCCGCGTGGGTTCTGGGGCACGCGTGCACATGCGCCTGGCGTGAGTTTAAGCCACTGGGTCCGGGACTTGAACAGCGGTCGGAGTCCAGCGATGTAACCACTACGCCATCTGCTGGCCCCTTGTATGCATCTTTAATAGCAGATAGATATGCAGGTATATGCAAGCTTTTCTGGAAACAAATAGAAGCTGTTGATGAGAGATGCTTTGGAAGGAAGGTATTGAGGGAAGAGTTTATTCTGGGACCTTTCTGCCGGGGTTAAGATTTTGGAGTTGGGGTGGAGGTGGCGTGGTACATAGACACTGGATTCCCACACGGCCAACCACAGTTTGAGTCCCGGACCTGGCAGCTTGCTTTCTCTCTCTCTCTGTTCCTCTCTGGTCAAATTGAAATAAATAAATGAATAAAGTTAAATGAAAAATTTAAAAAAAGATTTTGGATCGGGACTGGCTCTTAACATGCTTCTGCCCCGTAGTTGTTTGGCTTTTATTTACTTTGTTCAAAGAGCAAGAGACAGCTCCCCAACAGGGCCTTGAACCAGAACCTCCCTGGAGAGCCCGCCTCTCGGAATGTCGCGCTTTACTGCTACACCCCCACCCGGTCCCCTTCTTGGCATTTTTTAATGAGTCATTTCCCAAACACAAGCCAAAGTCCAGGTTTGCTTGATTCAGAATTCAGCAGATAAAGTCAGGCTGAACGTGGAGAAAGTTTGGCCTACGGACTCTTTATTTTAAAAAATAAACTTATTTTGTTGAACTTTATTTATTTGTAATTTGACCAGAGATGGACAGAGCGAGAGCGAGAGAGAGAGGGAAAGTGAGAAAGCAAGTCACTAGGTCTGGACTCGAACTATAGTTGGCCATGTGGTTATGCAGTGCCCTTAACCATCACGCCACCTGCTGGTCTCAGGCTAACAGATGCTTAAACAAACAAGGAAGGGGGTTTCACCTGGAGGTGGACAGGCCAGGACGTGGAGGGCAGCTCACTGAGGAGCCCTGTTCTTGCTCCACTGTTCACTACACAAGGCTCTGTCCTCACAGTCACAAGATGGCTGCCATACTGCTACACATCACAGCCTACTCCAGACCAAAGGCCAGGCCAGAGAAAGCCTCCCACGTCCCACTGGCATCTCATTGGCTAGAGGTGAGCGAGGCAAGGAGTCCCAGCCCCGACACACACTCGGACACACAGCCACCTCCTGAGAACCTCGTTGGGACGCCGCCTCCGTGGTGTCACCTTCGGCCTGGAGGAACCTGTTCTCGGCCGTCGGAAACCCGGCACAACTCATGAGTCACGACCCAGACTGCTTTATAGGAGAGATTTATTTGAAGAAATATTACAACATATAAAAACTACATAAAGTCTTAATTTCCACTCGCTCGGTGGCAGATTTAATATAATGCATAATAAAAAACCTTTAAAACCCAGAATGCAAAGCACGGCACGGTGTGGTCACTAAGTCACTCGTCGAAAAGCAAACCTCACGGGACAGCTTCATGGCGGCCGGGGCCACAGACACCACGGACGACACACGGGGACCGACAGATGGCGACAGGGTCACACACAACGACGTCAGTGCATGTGGGGGTTCCTGGTGCCGGAGACGGCGGCCGGGCGGCCTAGTCCTCAGCAGCCTTCTCCTCCTTCACTCTCGCTGAAGCCAAATAACAGGGCGCCGGGTGAAGGGACGGCGCGACGCCGCAGCAGGCCACCGCGGCTCCGCAATCGGCCAACACATTCAGTGCCCAGGGGCCGACGAGCTCTAAGAGGGCAAAGCGCCCCCCCGGGCTGCCCAGACGGGGTTCCTAGACCCGGCCGCTCAGAGCAGGTGCCTGCCACGCCAGGCCCCCAAAGCAGGACAGGTGTGGCGGACAGACACGGGGCCTCAGCTGACAGTCCGCCTCTGCTCAGGTGGCTGCTCTGGGGGTGCCCCACTGC